CAAAGTGCGAAGTGTTGGGACCCTCTCAGCAAACTTTGCCATTTGTTGACTGGTTAGTTTCAGTCTTAAATTTTGTACGCTCTTCAACAGTTTCGGTTTAGTTGTCGCAGTATCAGTTTTCAAGCTGAATGTTTCGAGCGAGATTTACAATTATGACAATTCGCCGTCAAGGACTGGATCTCAGTGTGTATAACGCAGAGGAGTCTGTGGTGTTTTTGTTTTCACGTTTAACATACCGTTAGAAACTTGCCGTCACGAGAAGCTACCACTCCATTGCTCTCAGTTTATGTTTTGATTGGTTAGTTTTCCTCTAAGTGGCTCGGTTCGAGTCGTCGCACTCTAAATACTTAACCTTTGATACTTAAATACTTAATCTTTAACCCCTAGGCGTCGTTTCATAGTCATTTTACATGTAACAGTATTGAGAAAATTTTATTCCAAGATCAGGTTGCATATATGGGATTAAATTTAGTAAGTTAGTAAGCTCTGTTTAGAGTAATAGCCTATCCATAAATTCATATGTTATGTTTATAACTTAGAATGTTTTCTCTTTAGAGGTTTTTAGCACGTTGAAATTCAAAAGAACATTTTGCTTGAAGTTTCAAATGCTGTAAATGACATTTTGTGTATTTAAGAATTAGCGGGTTATATTAACAAATTCGTTTTACGTTTTGTATCCTAATAAAACAAAAGGCCTCCCGCGAATTTCCTTTAGACTCTTCAGGGTACCCGTAAAAGATCTGGGACGAGCGGGGAAGCTACTTGCCTGCGTTGCAAACGAAACAGGCGAGGAAGTTACAAGAGCGTGCATTTCAGTGCTCCTTGTGCCTTTGTTTCAAAACGAGTGCTCGTGCAAAACCTGTCAAATGAAAAGGAGTTTGATTAACATGAAAATGAACTACGAAGACTCATTTTGAAACTGAGGCAAAAGGTAACTCGGAATTAGGCTGTTGTTACAGTACAGTCAAGTGGTCCCTAACATTTTGCAAAAGATTGGGCTATTGTTTTTGTTATTGTTGTTATTATTGTTTTGTTTTTGTTTTTGTTTTGTTTTGTTTTGTTTTGATAATTAGCTGTTGTTCAGCGACAAGGGTGAGAATCAACTTCTTCTTCGGCTGTCTTTGTTTACCAATAACTGTAGTTATTTCTTAATGCCAAAATTAAGATCTGTTGATGCATGTTTTTTTGGTTTCATTTACGTTTCGATGG